AAATACAGAATTGAATTTCTGAATAAAATCAGATTTCTTGACTTTGTTTTTCAGAGTCAAAATTATCTAATAATTTTTTGTTTAATCTCTGAAGTAAATGTATGCAATCGAGAAATTTATGACAAAACATGATGTGGAGAGGAGCTGGATTTGGATAATCCTCAGTTCATAAACTCCTCTGCCACTTTCATTTCTTATACTTCATTCAGAATATATTCTAGTACCACCCCATACTCCTGACTGCCTACCACCAGCTGAACAGACTGGAAAAATTTACTTAATTCCTCTAGGCCTCAGTTTCCTCATCTATAAAATAAGAACAATTAAATTTTCCTCATAGTATTGTTTTAGGAATTTAATAAGATAATGCATGGAGTCCCTGAGTGGTGTAAATGGTTAAGCGCTGGACCTCTAACTGAAAGGTTGGCAGTTCAAATCCACCCAGAAGCACCTCAGAAGACAGGCCTGGCAATCTGCTTCCAAAAGGTGACAGTCTTGAAAACCCTATGGAGTAGTTCTACTCTGCACACACGGGGTCTCCATGAGTCAGAACTGACTCAACAGCAACTAACAACAACAATGCATGTAAAGAAAGCACTTAGCAAAGTGCCTAGTACTTAATAAGCATTTAATAATGTTAACCATTAATTTGTTGTTGTCTTAAATACATTAAAAAGATACTTAGACTCCAAAACTCTTTGAGGGCAGGAACTATGTCTGGTTCGTATGTGTATATAGTCCTGAGAGCACAGCCCATTGTTTTTTATACAGTAGATACCCATGCAATGCATGTTGAATTTTACTGGATCGAATCTACTGTGTTGTATGTGATTTTTCCTATGAAGAAGAAGGGGAGATTACTTGTTATAAAGGAACATTAACTTCCTTTAAATGGACAAATAGGACAGAAACCTGTTTCTTCCCAAGAAAAAGTGAAACAAAGCTCATGGTCCCACCATCCTCATGGTACCATCCACATGCTCTCCTCATAGCTCTGAGAAGGGTACTATTACGTAGCCCCTTCTCCAAGGTGAGCCTGGCTAGGTGTTCCTTGAGGCCGGTCAGCTGTCCTTTCCCAGCCACAACAGACTGAATGGGTAGCCAACTCTCCAGAAATTTCTCTGGAGCCTAGAGAAAATGATTCTTTATGGTACACGTCCTTTACTATTTCCTGATGAAGAGCTACTTTTAGTATTTATAAAGTGTTCTAATCTCTAAAGCTGGGGAGGGGTAGGTGGGGGAGACAAGAATCAAAAGTACATGCTGCTAACAGGTGGGAACTGGAGCAGACAGCCTGGTCCCCACAGGGAACTTCCAAAAGCTGTGGAAACAGGGTGGAGCAGCTGGCAGTCCCAAGTCAAGACTCCAGAATGATGATCTACAGTGTGATCTATGGAGGTGGGGAGGCAGGGTTGAGTGAGGTGGGAGGATGGAATTGCTCTCCAGAAGGAGCTACTTCAGCCACATAAAAGAAACTTTTTACAAAATATATGTATTTGCATAAAACCACCCTTTTGTGTTTTCCCGGTAAACTGACTACCAAAAAATAAACTAAATTATAACCAATTCCTGTGATTCAGTTCCTCTTGGTAACTGGAAACAGTTAAAAACGGTGTCTGTGCTACCCGCCTGGCAGCAAAACCTGTATGAAAACGCGATTATGAAAGCAAAACCAAGAATCTTGTATTCTTTCTTCTTTCTCTAGTCACAACGGTGCCTCAGGATTGCCAGCTGTCCAGAGTGCATAAGAGTTACTGCAGGGTATTCTCATAAGGAAGCAAGGGAAGTTCTGTTTGTCCTCTGGGAGTTAAGCTATGAAATCAAGACATCAGAGTACAGGGATGCAAAATAACCTTAAAGAGACTAAATGGCTCCTGGGCCTATGAGACTAGAAGGCAAGCTGATTAAATATATTAACATATCTAAAGGAAAAATATTTCAAATTCTAGGGGCAGCTGGTCAGCCAAGAAGGCTTAGAAAAACAGAATTTTAGAGGAAAATGTTGTTAGTTGCCATGAAATCAATTCCAATTCATGACGACCCCATGTGTTACAGAGTAGAACTGCTCCATAGGGTTTAATTGGCTGTAATCTTAATGGAAGTAGATTGCCAGGACCTTTCTTCTGCAGTACCACTGGGGGGATTCGAAGCATCAACCTTCAGGTTAGCAGTCGCTCACAAACCATTTGTGCCACCTAGGGACCTAGCAGCAAATGCTAAATATGTCCATTGGAGCATTCCAGGGGATACTTTGCAACCTGCCTACTGCGTGATAAAAGAAAATTTATTTTTACACTGTAATTTTCAGGTGAGGGGTTGCTAGTGGAATGTCCTAACCTTTTGGAAGGGCTGCACTATTGAATAAAACAACAGGGGTATTGGGTATGGTAGGCTGGTGCTATAAAACACTGAGACCTCTCTCTGACAGACCTTGCTTGATCCACACTCCCCACACAAACTTGCCAGTAAAACTTGGCTTCCCTCGTACCAGGCTTTCAACATAGGAAGGTATGGCTAAAAGACACAAAGGCCCAAGCGCCTCTGCAGGCTCTTTGTAAGTGAGTGAATTAGCCCCTGACTTTATATATGTTGTTGTTGTTGTTAGATGCTGTCAAGCAGATTCTGATTCGTGGAAACCCCACGTGTGTGGCCAGGCCTCCCCACCCCTCTTCCTGTAGTAGGTTCACTGCTGCTCTCTTTGAAACTTTCCCATCAGCCTGGCCACAGAGAACCCGTTGCCATCAAGTTGATTCTGACTCACAGTGACCCCTTAGGACAGAGTAGAACTTCCCCACAGGGTTTCCAAGGAGCAGCTGGTGGATTTGAACTGCTGACCTTTTGGTTAGCAGCCAAGTTCTTAAGCCACTGTGCCACCAGGGCTCCACCACAGAGAACAGTCCATGATCACTCTCTAAGGCATTTAATTATAAACATGTAATTTTCCTTATTCAGCATCATAATTAATCAAAGAAATGCAAATTAAGAAAAATTAGCCAAGGGAAAATGGACAAAAGGTATAAGCAAAAAGGCATTCTTATAAACTGCTGGTGGGTGCATGAACTGGAAACTCACCAAAAGTCTTAAAAATATGTATACCTTCAGACCCAGCAATTCTCCCTTTAAAAATTTATCCTCACCTGTTCATTAAGAATGTGAACAAAGATTTAACCACAATGATGTCTTTTAGAGCAGTTCATAATGTAAAAAATGTGGCAATCAGTGCTGAACAATTCAGACTGGTTAAAAAAATCTAAAATTATATACTGGCATTTGTAATATGTTACTGACAAGGAAAAACATTCACAGTGTATTTTTATTTTCTTCTTTTTGTTTAGTTACATTTTCTATCTTTTTAATGACCGTTTATTTTCATATGTATGCCTGGTTCTGAATCAAAGTTGAGGAATTACCCCTGTCTACATGAAGAATAGACTCCATGGCTTGGAAGGAAGATGAGACATATACTTGGTCCAAGCCCTGTCTCTATATGAGAGCAAAGGAGGCTTCAAAGAAGGATAAATGGCTTATCTGAGGTTACACAGCTGACGATGGCAAAGCCAGTACCATCACTTGGCTCTGCAGATTCTTAAGCTTGTATCTTGTCCTATTATTCCTGGTGCCTCTAAATTATAGCAGAACCTTCTCTCTGTGCCACTCAACATTAACGACCTGACTCGGAAAGCAAATGTGCTCCTCTTGCTATGGGCTGAACCAAAATACTTGAATATAACATTTTTTAATGATCTGTCTTCCAAGTGTCCTATACATAATAGTAATAAACCTCAATTGCAAATGGCATTCCACATAATATTCCAGGATTTTCTGAATTGTGTCATAAAATATCAGACTTCTCCCAAGACATTCAGAATGAATTGGTGAGATAGGGAGAGGAGGAAAGAGGGTAAATGACAATGAAAAAGAAGGTCTACCACATACAGAACACTCCATCCAACAGCTGCAAAGTACATTCTTTTCCAATGCACATGGAACGTTCTCCAGAATAGACCACATCTTAGGCCACAGAGCAATCCTCAACAAGATCCAAAACGTTG